GTCCCAGTGTGGTAATGCTCTGAGATGTCTCACTGCTGCTTGGGTTGGACTGAGGTAGCTGTGCTGCTGCAGCCAGCTGTTTTAGGCTGCTAATGCTGGCTGACTGACTCGCCAGGTTCTGTGCGAGGCCTGCGGCTGCAGCCAGCTGTTGAGAGAGATGTGAGCTGAGTGTGGCAAGTGGGCTGGCAGCGGGCCCCACTGAGCCTGGAGCAGAAGTTGGGGGTACCTGCATTTCTGGGGACTGTGAAGCTAATAACAGAATCTGATGGCGAATTTGCTCTATAAGCTGCAGCTGGTGGATCTGCTGCTGCTGCAGTGCTAAAAGCTGCTCCATCAGGGCTGGCACAGCCACCCTGGGGCCACCGGTGGATCGGGCCTCTTGGGAGAATTGAGCCACGGCCACTTTAGTGCTCTGCAGATTTTCAATTATGACATTGCTGTTGATCATGGAGAAGTTCCCAAGTTCAGTTAAGTTACTGAGCTGAGGTAACGAGGCAGAGACTGCTGACGTACCCACAGCAGGGCCTGCGGTGCCCCTGCTTGTATGACTACTACTGCCTGTATTGACAGGGCTCCTGCTCTCAGTTTGGCTGCATTCTTCTTCATGACCACTGCTCATTCCAGAAACATCCACKTCCATGGATTCGTCTTTTTCAAGAGTGTTAGGCTCTAAAAGGTCACTGGACTCTGTTTGATCAGTGTTATTGGGTGTTTCATTCATCTGGTCATCAGGATTGTGGAGAGGAGACCCAGGTGAGAAAGTTCCAGCAGGGGAGGCAGGATGTTCATTCACTATCAAAACTAACTGATTCTTAGTGCAATTTTTCTGATGTTCTTCAAGATCTGAAATGTCAAAGAACTCAGCACAACATCTGCTACAGACATGGGCATCTGACTCCTTGCAGGGGGGGGCGTCTTCAGAGCAAAGTTCTGTGTCCCCTGAAAAACGAGGAAAGAGAGGATTAGTGATTAAAGATGTTTTGCAGCTGAAGAAGCAGCTTTATCTCTTCAAATTCCATTGTTGCTAATCTTAACTTAATCAGTTTTACACTTATCCTTTAGATTTACACACAAAAAACAATGATGTTAAGGCAAAAATAAGCCAACAAAAATGGGAAAAAAACTTATTCAATGCAGTGGCCCCTGAAACATGATAAAAGAGGACACAAAAATCAATGGGAACAATGCAAATAATGCTTAAAAGTGATCTTTGAAGATGTACATCTGAGTTTCATCAACCATGCAAAGGCAATCATTTTCTTCAGATAATCCATCAAAATATAAAACTAAATGATTTGAGGACATTTGGCCCTAATGAAATTTCATAGTAAAACATTGATTTCCTATATTCAATGCCCTTTAACGTCTACTTGTCCACTCTGTGCAAATCAAGCATTTGAAGGACTTATTAGACTTTCAATTCTCTGTCAACTTTGCTCATTTTCAGCCAACTATGTGCATCTTGGACAGGTTATCTGTGTCGCTAAACTCATTTGTATTCACTCTGCTTTGCAGTCAGTGTGAGACAAAAACAACCTAGCCTGTGGCGCTCAAACGGGTTACAAGCACACAACGAATAAAATAAAACTTTTTTTTAAATTCTGAAATAATTTTAATATAAAAATTGTAGTTGATTTTAAATGGGGTGTAATTATTTTTCATGAAGAAAATATATGGTATCTAATAAAAAAATATATACATTCTTAAGGTCAAACCACTTTGTTTAAAAAACAATGTAGGAAAACATATAAAAATGCTGAGAAAATATGTGATTAAAAAAATGCAAATCACAAATAAAGATATTGTATGAAAACCAGTTTTGTCAAAAATAATAAATTAGGCTGTGGATTAAAAATCCACGACTCACAAACTTGCCAAAAGTGAAAAACTGGATACCCAGGCTCATAAAACAAGTCCAACAGAAACAGCGCCGTATGCTGTTGTTAAGACAATAATTCGAAAGCAATGACCCCTATTGACATGCACACGGGAACAGGTTTTTAAATTTTCCATTTTAATAAACGGGACAAGTCAGGGAGTAAAAAGGCAGGACAACACCCTGCCCCCCAGAGCCGCTGCTGCGCTTCAGACTTTCCTCATTCATTCCCTTCTTTGTCGCACTAAAATCTCGCTATTTAACATACAAGTTGATTTACAAATTGCATTTCTCTATGAATCCCTTTCATTGTAGCTCCAGCCCCTCAACACTTTCATCAGGGCCAAGAATTCATTTGCAAATGAAACCCAGAGAAGTGCAGCCCTGCCCCACAGAGAGACAGGATGCCTTCCCATTGTTCACGCAGCATGGGAGCGGCGGGGATCGTCGGCACAGCCTGGCCCTGCTCATCTCAGTCGACTCAAAGCAGATCCTGTTTAATTCAGGGATTATCTCCCTCAATGTTTCTCCGCTCAGAGACACTGGATAACACAAAGTTGCCATGACAGTAAACCCCGGCCCTCACACCACCAAACCATGCAAACAGAGAAGATTCAACTTTAATGATAACTTTTCATGTTAAATCCCCTTTCCACCCACCCACCGGCCTACACTCTGAGCATTAATTTTGTGGGAAAAAAAAAAGTGACTGATTCATAGAGTGGAAAATGTGCAAATTCAGTAAACACCTTTTTTTCCTTCTTTTCTCAAGGCTGATTTCCACAAGTGATAAAAACTAATCATGTGTCACTGTGTGGGATAAAATAAACAGAACAGCAAACTTATAAAAGTTAATCACAAATAAAATATGGGTATGTGCACTTGTTTGTGTATAAACAAGTACAAATATTTACAAACTGTACAATTAAAATACATTACACGRGAAAAATTAACTTAAAAAGCTATTTGCATACTCAGAAGATAGTTTTGTCACATTCATGAGCAAACACAATATATATATATTTTTTAGATAAAGAAATCCAAATAAATTTTAAATTATAGGCAATATTTATAGATGATGCACTGAAAAGTTTTAATGTAAATTCTGTAATGCTAATTAAATATATTTTAAAATRCTAAAACTAGAACCTAAAAGTCTAAGTCGGCAAATGCAGTTATCCGTGTTAGTTGTCCACGTAAATAACCAAGAAATATAAAWAAAAAAATTTACACAACTGATGAATTTTGCAGTAGATGGTTTTGTTGTGCCTATTTTTATCTTAAGTTTGACAGAAAAACAGAAAAGTTGGTGTAAATCTTTTACAACAAAACTTCAGTGAGTGCAAAACTAAAAATCTGCTCCATAAAACTCTTGTTTTATTTTGCTTGAGGACCAAGGATCAAAWCTGACTCCACGCATAACTTCAAATCCACTGTCCCCAAAAGAGAAGTATAGCCAACAGCGCAGATGCTAGCATTAGGCTTAAGTCCCAAAATAGCAAGGATTAACATCGAATTAAAATTAAGATAAAGTCAAGTAGGTATGAAGGATTGTGTAAAACCTTTAAAGAATCTGTACGCAAAGGACAGTGTGCAGAGGGTGTCAGGAAAAAACAAAGAGCAGCAGGACAAATTTAGTGAAATGTGAATCAGAGAAATGAGAAAGCAAGGATTAGTAAAATAAAAAAAAAGTTGACAAAGAGTTTTTGAGAGATCCTACATTCTTTGTTTTTCGCTGGGGACCTCTTGTGAGCTTCTTGACACTTGTAACTTCAGGAGGGTTTCTGCTCAAAACGTCCTCTCCGGCCCTCAAGACTCATCCCACCGAACACTAGATGGGGTTCCACTAAAAGCTGCCGTGGTCCTGGACCAGACTGGAGTCTCAGAAACTCTGCCCCGGTGACACGGTTAAAGCTTAAGGGGAGGGAAAAAAGACAAAGCGAGTCCTTCATGCTACACCTAAACTCACACCACATAAACACTGGCAACTTGACGAGCAACTGCTCTCTTTCTTTGAAGGGAACAGAGTGAGGCGGAGGAGGGAATGGGGCATGTTTGTTTGACGAGAACGAAGACGTTGAAATTTTGGCAGATTTATCAGTGCTGAACCAGAGACATCACTGC